TATTTTATGACTTTGAATAATCCATCTTTTGGCTGGAAGAACTAAACATCACCTACTAGCCCAAAAGGGGCAATCAAGATCAGAAACGGAAGGTTTGTTCGTGGGATCTTCCTGGGTGGGCCGTATCCTAAATATGCACAGGAAGGAGGGGATTTGGTGAGCAGCTGAAAAGGACTTGCCCACTTTGCAGCACTGATATTTCTGTTCACTCTCCATTGTCCACTTGCCTGTACAAAGTACAATCTTCTGGGGTTGGCACCTGCTGATAAGGGTAATTATAGCAGTAATGGAAACAAGCATGCTAAGATTGAAAAACAGCTACAGCGCCATCATTTCACTTCCTCACAATTATTCCTTGCTTTGCTTTTATACAAAGCTTGTTCAGAGATTTAAATCAATTGTGCATTTATTTGAAAACAAACCTTTAAATAGTTGTGGGACTAGAGAAGGAAATAGCCTCAACCTGTGGATATACTCTTTCAATATCACTGCGAAAACCCAGGGGAGCCACTCCTGCCTCTCGCTACAGCACTGCAGAGTGGCGCCTCTGCCTAGCCACAGAAAGCAGCAGGCCCTGAAGAATTGGGACCGGAGATAGAAAACAGTGTCCCAACCCCACAGCGAGCACAAGACCACGCACCACGCTCCAAAGACATTACCAGAAATGCACTTTTTTTTTTTTTAACTTTTACTTTAAGTCTGGCAACAAAATCACCTCTAAGAAAGGCCTGACATATTTAGTGATAAGTAGAAAATCTATTTTCCCAAGTTGATTCATATAGACTTTCCCTAGGTTGCACACTCAAAAAGTCATGATTTTGATAATAGACAAAGTCCTTCTGCAAAACCTAGACTATGGAAGAGCTCTCCCTGCTGAAATAAGTATCTCCCATTAGCAATGATGTATGCTTCCTTAGGTGTTAGCAAATGTGAAAAATAATGCAGCCTTTCCCACCGGGAGCAGACTCACCAGCTGCACTTTCCCTGGGAATAACTCTAACTGGAAGTAATTTCAGGACTAACTAAAACTGGAAAACAAAGACCACATCATTGAAGCATCCTCCAAAGAGAAGAAAGCTGTAAGAAGTCCCCCTACCATGTTGCATTTTTAACCAGCTTCCTTCCACCTTCTTTTACTTCATTCAATAGGAAGAGTAAAAACCTTCCTGATTTTTACACAGACGTCACAAAACTTCTAAGTACAACACACGTTGAGTAAGATCCACAGCTACATATAAACATCAAGACAGTCATACGAACTGTTTTCAACAATACAAGCTCAGTTATATACAAGATGCAGCAAAGCTGAAAATAGCACCACTTCACTTTAAATGGGAGAAAGATTCTTACCTTGAAAATCTGAAACTTTTTATAAGCAAGTCTACTGCAAGAAATTTTATTTCTTCCTGTTTGTTTAAATAAATTGAGCACAGCTTCAAAGCCAAAAGCCTCAAACTATCACCCCAGCTCCAAGCATTAAACTACTTTTTCTAAAATGAAAAAAAAAAAAATCTGGTAGTTTACATCAAAACTAAGAGCACTTATCACTGGATTTTGAGAAAGAAAATCAATACCAAACTTGCCTTGCAAGGTCAGAACAAGCTCAGGCTTGGGCTGAATCCCACTAGTGTGTATTTTAACAGAATTACTGATGTTTCCATTAACAAGTGCCACGGAGGAATTTAGCACCATCATCCCCCTTAGTAAACAGGAGGCCATGCTGGCTTCTCCAGATGCCCCTGGTTGTCATGGCATCCACTCACACCCTGAGAATCACATCTTGTCAGAGGCAGCAAACCTACAAGATACATTGTCCAACTTGTAACACCGGTTACAGGAAGATTCTTGTGTCCCTCACACAGGCTGTGCACGCACCTGTTGAACACCATCAAAGAAACTGCGGGAAGAAGTTCCTTAGCCATCACAGAGACCTTCTACCTGGGAGAAAACCAAGTCAACCCCTTAGTCCCCATATTTGATAAAAATAAGATGCAATCGGCATGACGTTTTCTAATTTAGTTCATAAAATCCCATCTTCAGGCTGTTATTCTCCTGTTTACATATTTTCAAGCCCACAGATAATATTTCTATACTAAAATAAAATTAATTGCATTTTAAGTTGTACTATGTCCATATTTAGATAACAAGCCTGCCCACAGAACACAGTGTAAGTTTGAGGAATAGAATTCAGATTTAATAACATCTTCTGCCGGCAGTTTCTATAAGCAGGCAAACAAAACATGCCAGAAATCAGAAGTCTCTTTCAGTCCATTGAACTTATGTTTAAATCGAAGTATCTCTTAGGAACGTATTTTACCATTTAAGAGCTAGCTTTCAAAAACAAACCCAGGGCAGACACCAGTGCTGCCAACGCTTTTCAAGTTCTTTTCACTGTGCATTATCTGCCGCCAACCTGTCTGCCTGTAAAACATAAGATCTCTCCTCTCTCTCTCTCTCTCTCTCCTCTCTCTCCTCTCCTCTCCTCTCCTCTCTTTCTCTCTCTCCTCTCTCTCTCTCCTCTCTCTCTCTCTCTCCTCTCCTCTCTCTCTCTCTCTCCTCTCTCTCTCTCTCTCTCTCTCTCCTCTCTCTCTCTCTCTCCTCTCTCTCTCTCTCTCTCTCCTCTCTCTCTCTCTCTCTCCTCTCTCTCCTCTCTCTCCTCTCTCTCTCTCTCTCTCTCTCTCCT